TAATATCGATAATGCATATATTCACAGTGTACATATGGCATAGGACATACACTTTCACAGTTCCACGTTGAAATCTAGCTAGAAAGAATGTGAAGCACAGTATGAACACAAAGATAATGTATATAGTCATTATGACTTGTTAACAGTTACTTCGATCTCGTTTTCAGGTTCAACCGGACCTGTCTCACATTGTTTACTTATCTTCGAGCATTGTCTGTCTGTTGGGGGTGTAGACTTACTACTCTTTTTGCGTTTCCTCATGCCACTCGGTGTGCGCATGGGTAACAACGTTGAGTCGGTTGTGTCCAAAAAATGCAACAACGAGGCAGCGATTTTGCCAGCGCCGCATTTACTTACGTGAATGCCACTGGGATCGTTCGGGTCGTAGTTGGTCTTACATGGTGTCCCGTTCGATATTAATTTACTGAACACATCTATAATGTGTAACTTTTTGTTTCGCTGACACATCTTGGCGATAAATGAGTTTACGAGTTTAGTGTTCTCATTCAGCGTGATGATGTTGTTACTCTTTCCTTTACGAGGGATCACGGTACACACACCTATATCATCAACCTCCGGGAAGTCATCTTGTACCTGCTGAAGCGCCTCTGTGACATTGATGTAAACATCGTCTGGGTCTTGTTTGTTCTTGCTAATGTCGTTGGTTCCTAGGCAAATAACTATTTTATTTACCTTTTCACCTTCCAGGATCGATTGGGCATGCTGGATGACTTGGGATATACCTTCTAGTGTCGCTCCAGATATTGAAGCATTGACAATGTTATCGTTCTGTATCTCGAGACGTTTACAATTAGAAGCACCCAGGATCAAAGATTTAACTGCTGGGAGGGGGTCTTCTTCATCTTGAGATTCGTCACTCTCGATATCACTGTGACTCTTAACAGTCTCAGACTGACCTTCGCGTATATCGGTAGCATATTGACCATACAAATCGCTGTTTAGTTTTCCTTTACAATCTCTTTGTAAATGACCTGTTTCACCACAATAGTAACAGCTTCTGACCTCCTTATCACAGTCACGAATCAAATGGTCAGTTGAATGACATCTGTAACATTGTTTTACGTTTGACAAAGAGGTTATGTTGAGGCATCTATATGACGGATGACTAGTGTCTCCACATCTAAAGCATTGAGTTCTGTTGTTATCTGCGAACATTCTCACATCAAATCTGCCAAAGCTTGTTGTTAGCGGGAGGGATTGTTGGCATTTAATGAGTTGTACGTACCTTGTGCCGTTTTCTATGGACGTCCCCCGTATAACTCCGCGTTTGATACTCCCATTTACAACCTGTCCGTATTTGGAAATGTAGGAGCCCGCAGCACTGTCGGACATTTCGTAGAGAATGTCTTTGATGGTTACATTCGTAATAGTCCTTTCAACTTCGAACAGTTTCACTGACTGGCCTTTCAGTTCCAACCCGTCTACTAGGAGTTTGTTTTTTGTCTCACTGTCCGCTATAGACACAACACACATTTTTTCAGTAATCTGGATAGATTTCACACATTCTTTCTTAATCACTGTTTCCAGTCCTTTTATGACATCTTCGTGATTGATCCCTAGCAGGAATTTATGGTTGAAGTGTAGAGACATTGGTCTCTGTAACTGGTGGGACGTAGCTAACATGTCGTACGTGTACGTGGTGAGTTGATCTCACAGTTGGGAAGCAAATGCCTCTCAAAGTCTCAAAATCCGAAAATGAGCTACTGTAACACAAACCAAGTCATCGGAAGTGTTGTTGATCACGTCTTGGACAAAAAAACTACGAAAAAGGGCGAATATTGGCCATACAGAGTCGAAAATCTTTGAATATTCGGAGCCTTCAAAAAATCCAGCCATTCCCCATCAAGGGCAGATCACTCTCGCCTTTTTATGTTTTCACGCGGGCGGGCGGGCACACATTAGTTTCCGCTCAATAACTTGAGTATTTTGAATGGATTCATTACAAACTTGGTAGGAAGGTTCATTGCCATGAAAATTTGGGCAAGTTCGATAACCAAAATTATTTGTCAGTTATTTACGGAGTAGAATTGCCGTAACAGTTTCCGCTCAATAACTTGAGCCATTTTGAATAGATTGTTCTATGAAAGCTTGCAAAAGTTCGATAACCAATATATATACGCCTGTTATTAAGGGAGTTATGGACCTTTATAGAATTGAGACACACTCTCCGCTCAATAACTTGAGAAATTTTGAATGGATTCATTACAAACTTGGTAGGAAGGTTCATTGCCATGAAAATTTGGGCAAGTTCGATAACCAAAATTATTTGTCAGTTATTTACGGAGTAGAATTGCCGTAACAGTTTCCGCTCAATAACTTGAGTATTTTGAATGGATTCATTACAAACTTGGTAGGAAGGTTCATTGCCATGAAAATTTGGGCAAGTTCGATAACCAAAATTATTTGTAAGTTATTTACGGAGTAGAATTGCCGTAACAGTTTCCGCTCAATAACTTGAGACATTTTGAATAAATTGTTCTCTGAAAGCTTGCAAAAGTTCGATAACCAATATATATACGCCTGTTATTAAGGGAGTTATGGTCCTTTATAGAATTGAGAGACACTCTCCGCTCAATAACTTGAGTATTTTGAATGGATTCATTTCAAACTTCAGCCATAATTTACGGACTTACAGTCTTTTGTAGAATTGTCGGAACACAATTTCTGCCCAATAACTTTATGCACTTATGGCCCTTTTTGGCAAACAGCTCATTCGACATCTGACGGGCGTATCATGTACCACTTCGCGGAACTCTTGTTAGAGTTACTATTGCGACAAACATATGTAAAATAACTAGAACACATTCTATTACAAGTAAAGGGAGATACTCACATGTATTAATAAAAAGCAGTAATAATTATCACAGAAAAAGAAAGCACCATATACCAGGTTTCTAAGTGAGTGGGAGTCTCCTGCCTACAAAGGCCCCCGGAACATGACACTTTTGATAAAATAAATATATGAACTAGAAATATGTCAGAATGACATGAAAGTCACCCATGATCATTTTCCGATAAATCATTGACCAAGCTACAAGGGACATATTTCCATCTGACAATCAAAATGGTAAACAATTACCAGGTGTAAATACATACATGCTGTTCAGGTAGCCATGCCAACACATGGAATTAATAAGAAAGCATGTCGCAAATATAGCGTTAGCGTTGACCGACACCTCGAATACGGGGCGATCTGCGCGCTGACACGGTCACTTGGCATGGGCAGAACAGGTAACGTTAATTGGAATATAATGATGTTGTTTTCACAACAATAAGTTTCAGAAAAGATTCAATCTTATATACGGATAAATCTACTATTTTTTGTTATGAAATACACTTTTCCAAGTAGTTTTCTGATCGTCTGCAAATCCGACTGAATCGGTCTTCGATATCGGCAGAATGTGTACGCTAAAGGCAGTCAATCCGACGAGGACCGCCAACAGCCGAATTCGCGAAGAACACCAAACAATTGTGATTTCAACAATTCTCAAGTAATAGAGGTAACCAGGGCACAATATGAAGTATCACTCTTTATAGATTTTGCAGGACCAGCCTCCTAAATTCTTTTGGAGCCTGAAGTTAGTTCCTAGTTCCATTTAGGATAAAACGTAACTGGAGTTCCCATTGGATTATAACAGGCTGGTTATGATGTTTTTCTGAAACAGAACTAGTACGTTGGTCCAAGTTCCATTGATAGCATTTTTTCAGTTTTAAACGGAACTAGGGTCTGGTTTCCAGTTCCGATTATGTTAAACGGAACTAGGAACTAGGAACCAACTTCAGGCTCCCAAATTCTTTTAAGTTTTCAACTTTTCGGAAGTCATCCAAACCTGGGCGGCCTCAAAAGCTTGTTGTCCATACTTCACAGTGTTGACCTGGGCACCTCTGCAGTATTTTCTTTCCTGAAATCATAATAAGACATCTTAATTTTTATAAGGTTATTATTATATTCAGGTGACATTTTGTTTATAATTTATAAAAAAAAATCACAACCCATATCCTTCAGGCGCCTTACATGTAGCCTATTAGCTGTTGGTAATACTGAGCAAGTGTCTGAAGGATGAGTTGTGATCATTATGTATAAACCTTAAAGCTCTTTCTTGTATCTTTTCTAACTTGCTGACACTCTTCATGGAACAAGAGTGCCAGACTAAAGGACAGTAGTTAAGATTTGAAACAATCAAAGAATTATAAATTACAAGTCTACCTTGTTTGGTTAAAGAACTCCAAGTTTGCTTTAAAATGGACAATTGCTTTGAGGCTTTCCTAAACATTTCTGAGATATGAGCTTCAAAGTTTAAAACGAACGTTTCCCTATACAAATGGCCTGGTATTTATCAGGATTTGCTTTCATCTGGTTTAATTTAAATTAGTCTATTCAATTTTGACAGTCATTTTCAATATTATGATTTAAAACATGAGATTAAAAGGATTTACAATCCTTAATGAAACCCTTAATACGAAAAAAAGGGTACGTGCTTAGATGGTCTCATGTTAGTACTTGAAAAACGTTAACAGCTAGGATACATTATTGTTAGGTACAATTTGGGTAAAATTTCCGTACGATGACAGTGAAATATATAGTGTAATCGGGAGGTAGTAATAAAGAATTATACATAGCGATAAGTTACTTTCACCATCAAACTAAACCGTTGATAAGGATTTTAAACAAATTCCATTGTAATGGTGTATAGTTTAAGTGATTTGGGATGCATTAATAAAAGACATATCATACTAACCTACCCCGCTTGTAACTATTGACAATACTGTCCGCACCGAGTAGCCGACGGTATATTTAAGGACATGACACATTTAGGTACAGATAAACTTATCTCATATCGTACAAATAACACCACGAGTGTGTAATCAACCCATTCCTGTGTTGTCCACCCATATCTACATTCGGAACTTCACGACTTTACCGACCTTTTGTAGTGGGAATGTTCCGAATAACTCAGTCATTAACCTAAACCTTGGTTCACACATTAAGGGTCATTGTGCTGATGTAAGTTGTCCATGTTAGATGTGAAACGAAACACGGAATTCACATCTCTACTTGGACCACACATATCACACGGCTTCCACGGCCGTGTTAGATTTACTGGAAACATTACCGTTTTAACAGACTGGATTTTTTTCTGAAAGCTTCCAAACAAAAATGAGTATTTGTAAAACATTCGTTATTTTAATTGTGCACGTTGCATTGCTGGTAGACATAGCACGTACTGAAAACACCACTTCCGGTCCCACCATTGGACCAGTTCCGGTGGTAAACCATACCAACAGTGGTAGCAATGCCCCAACAACGACAGGAAACCAACTTCCGAAATATTGGCAAGATTTAATGAACTTTGTTCAGAATCCAAAAACTGTCAAAATGGTTCAGGACCAAATCGGCACTTTCATAAAATCTAACAATGTGTCGCTACCCATCTCGGTCATGACTCCCCAAAATCTACAAAAACTCCTCCAGTTCCTCAGACCTGGTTCCAGCAGTGGTAACCTTCAAGGTATTTCTCAGTACGTGGGGATGATCGGGAACATCTCAAACACAATACAGAATGTCACTGGACAATTGGAACAACAAATTTCACCCCAGTGTTTCAGCCACCTACAACATCTAGTATCGGAACTCACTCAAAGGGAACAATGGGCGATGAAAAGTAAGTCCTTGTTAATGAATAAAACATAATTTGTGGTTTTTAATGCACTCCTTTATATAGATATTATTTTATTATTGTAATATATGCATGCATCATGAAACAGTTGCTTGCTTTTTTGTCAGCGATTTTTCAAAACTTTTATCACAATTCTTCGCATTGCAATCTGAACTCTTTCTGAAGTGAGTTATTCAGTGTGATACTTTTATTCTGTTTGGGTGTGAAATACTTGCAGAAGATAACGACGTTAAGATTGTCGGTGATACCTATGGAGATGTCTCTCTCTAGTTAACCAGCGACCTAAACTTTTATCACTTACCAACACCAGTCGTAAGTAGTTTTCCTGACTGAAGTCCAATTGTCCATAGTTTCTATGTACTTCTTCCTCCAAAAAAAATTAGAAATAGTTAATAAGCACACCTAAAACCACAAAAATTAAACCAAAATAGCAATATCAATATTTTTGTACATCTTCCTTTTTTAAGTACTTCTGGTTAAAAGTTATATGTTCTGCGATCTTCAAGTAAAATACCTACAGTTCAGGTAGCATAAGTTAATTATAGGAAACCCTACATAATACAGCATCGGTTACGAAGCCGAGCTAGCAAATACAAATCACTTTACTACTACAGTCCCCTTTCGGAGGCCTCAACGTTCCCGATTGTGACCGCTGTCACACCGGTTATATCTCATAACGAGGCTGTTGCGAAATAGATTCTGATTTCGAAATAGTTCAGTCTCCTGATGGAAAAACCGTGGCAAACACTTTAGAATCAGAACAAGAATTGTTTAATTTTATTAGTGGCAATATTTAGGCAATAAGCAGAGCAATGATCAGAAATACTCTCACAATCCATGAATGTATAATGATATTCACGTCGGCAGTAACTGAGAAAAGGCTTGATGAGATAAAAACCATTACATGTAGTTGAGATTAAAATCAGACGAGACTAATTACTTATATTAACATTCGTAATAGTAAGGCATACAATTACGTATTAAAGAATCTGTTTTGAAAGCTATATTGCTTATAATGAAATAGATCCTCAAATGAACAAAGAAAAAAATTTAATAGAGAGCTTCAACAAACACAGGAAGGATACGACCAAGCGTTCCAAAAGGGTAAGCGTCTTTAGCTTCATCAACACTATCTGTCATGTAAATCTAGGCCAAATCAAAGTAATGTCACTTTCTTAAAGTGAAAAATGGGAAAGTGACAACAAAGGACACTTACGGAATCGATTTTCATACTACAGAGGAAAATAACCTGCTTTCCGGTGTGAATTTGATGGCGACTATACAACTTGACCATAGTTTTCACAAACCTGCATCTTTATAACCATTTGTTGTGAGTTTGTCCGTGAGCAGTTCAAATTTACATAACATTTGGAACTAGCTTTACCAAATCAACTGTGACCAGTAATCTCACATGTACAGTTACGTAGTAAGGCCTGGTAAATCATGTTCAATTTCGAAGAAAGTGGCTACAGGTTGTAGTGCTGTTGTTTTTGTCAGATTACAATTCAACATATCTACAGCTTCTTCTCTGTTTCCTTCACACATTCCTTAATATACCTCCCCTGAAAACAATTGTCAAAAAGATATCCTTTCCCAATATCATTTTTAACCAATAACAATAAGTATGATCATATATCTAACCCGAACGGTACCCTTACCTGTACTTACACTAACGGTACCCTTACCTGTACTGACACTAACGGTACCCTTACCTGTACTGACACTAACGGTACCCTTGCCTGTACTGACACTAACGGTATCCTTGCCTGTACTGACACTAACGGTATCCTTACCTGTACTGTCACTAACTGTACCCTTGCCTGTACTGACACTAACGGTATCCTTGCCTGTACTGACACTAACGGCATCCTTGCCTGTACTGACACTAACGGTATCCTTGCCTGTCCTGACACTAACGGTACCCATGCCAAAACTGACACTAACGGGACCCTTACCTGTACTGTCACTAGCTGTGCCCTTGCCTGTACTGACCCTAAAGGTACCCTTGCACGTATTGACCCTAACGGTACCCTTGCCGGTACTGACCCTAACGGAAACACTGGTTGTACTGACCCTAAAGGGATCCTTGCACGTATTGACCCTAACGGTACCCTTGCCAGTACTGACACTAACGGTCCCCTTGCCTGTCCTGACACTAACGGTATCCTTACCTTTACTGTCACTAACTGTACGCTTGCCTGTACTGACACTGACGGTATCCTTGCCTGTCCTGACACTAACGGTCCCCTTGCCTGTCCTGACACTAACGGTACCCGTGCCTGTACTGACCCTAAATGTATCCTTCCGCGTACTTACCATAACGGTACCCTTGCATGTACTGACCCTAACGGTCCCCTTGCACGTACTAACGCTAACGGTACCCTTGCCTATACTGACCCTAACGGTACCCTTACCTGTCCTGACACTAACGGTACCCGTGCCTGTACTGACCCTAGCGGTACCCTTGCCTGGACTGACCCTAAAGGTACCCTTGCACGTATTGACCCTAACGGTACCCTTACCTGTCCTGACACTAACGGTACCCTTGCCAAAACTGACACTAACGGTACCCTCTAAGTGGAATAATTATAACCACAATAAAGACTTTTATATTTCTATAAAGCAACTCGTCTCTTTGATTAACTTATTTTGAAACACATAACGGAGGAATGAAACATCTCACGTGCTCGAGATTCCCCGCTTATATAAAGTTTCCTTATTCAGCGCCCCTATAAATATGAGGAAGAGACACTACACCTAAGATCCAAGTTACCGAAGCAGACGATAACAATGACACAGAAGCATGATCAGACGACGATGATATAAAGACATTTTCTCCATCACATTGTATAATTTCACATATAACATGTAGATTTGTTATGTTGGCGAAATGTTAAATAGCTATTTGATTGCAGTAATTGACGCAGCCGGCAAAATTCCATCAGGAATTCTAGATGGAAACATCTTGTGGACTGGCTCCTATGATGAGTGTTTAGCTGTGCAGGCCGGAACGTTTGGTGGAAAATATTGCAAGGCGACAATACCACTTACACCAATATTGGTAAGTTAATGGGAATTCGGCTACATTAACAGATCGCAGTATGTTTTGTAAAAAATATACAAACACTCCATACCCGCCCATACATATATATCTCAATACACCACCCTGTCCTCTGTCTCTCACCTGTATATCTCAATAAAGCCACCCCGTCCTCTGACTCTCACCTGTATATCTAAATACAGCCAACCTGTCCTCTGTCTCTCACCTGTTTATCTCAATACAGCCATCCCGTCTTCTGTCTCTAACCTGTATATCTAAATACAGCCAACCTGTCCTCTGACTCTCACCTGTATATCTCAATACAGCAACCCCTTCCTCTGACTTTCTTATATATCTGTCAATACAGCCATCCCTTCCTCTGACTCTCACCTGTATATCTCAATACAGCCACCCCGTCCTCTGACTATCAACTGTATATCTCAATACATCCATCCTGTCCTCTGACCCTTACCTGTATATCTCAATACAGCAAACCCTTCCTCTGACTTTCTTATATATCTCTCAATACAGCCATCCCCCCTCTGACTCTCACCTGTATATCTAAATACAGGCACATTGTCCTCTGACTCTCACCTGTATATCTCAATACAGTCACCCCGTCCTCTGACTCTCACCTGTATATCTCAATACAGCCACCCCATCCTCTGACTCTCACCTGTATATCTCAATACAGTCATCCCGTCCTCTGACTTTCACCTGTATATCACAATACAGCCACATTGTCCTCTGACTCTCACCTGTATACCTCAATATAGACACCCCGTCCTCTGACTCTCACCTGTTTTATTAATACAGCCATCCCGTCCTCTAACTCTCACCTGTATATCTTAATACCTCACCTTGTCCTCTGACTCTCACTTGTATATCTCAATACAGCCATCCCGTCTTCTGTCTCTAATCTGTATATCTAAATACAGGCACCTTGTCCTCTGACTCTCACCTGTATATCTCAATATAGACACCCCGTCCTCTGACCCTCACCTGTATATCTCAATACAGCCGCCCCGTCCTCTGACTCTCACCTGTTTTATTAATACAGCCATTCCGTCCTCTAAATCTCACCTGTATATCTCAATATCTCACCTTGTCCTCTGACTCTCACCTGTATATCTCAATACAGCCATCCCGTCCTCTGACTTTCACCTGTATATCTCAATTCAGACACCTTTTCCTCTGACTCTCACCTGTATATCTCAATGCAGCCATCCCGTCCGCTGACCCTCACCTGTATATCTCAATACAGACACATTGTCCTCTGACTCTCACCTGTATATCTCAATACAACCACCTTGTCCTCAGACTCTCACCTGTATATCTCAATACAGCCATCCCGTCTTCTATCACTCACCTGTATATCTAAATACAGCCACCTTGTCCTCTGACTCTCACCTGTATATCTCAATACAGCCACCTTGTCCTCTGACTCTCACCTGTATATCTCAATACAGCCATCCCTTCCTCTGACTCTCATCTGTATATCTCAATACAGCCACCCAGTTCTCTGACTCTCATCTGTATATCTCAATACAGCCACCCCGTTCTTTAACTCTCACCTGTATATCTTAACACAGCCATCCCGTCCTCTGACTCTCATATGAATATCTCAATACATCCACCCCGTCCTCTGACTTTCTCATATATTCTTATTTCAATTGACCTACTTTTGACTACCAGGGAGGAATGGTTCCAATGCCAGGAGGATTCAATGTACAAATGGGGATATGTATGCCTGATAGCTGTGCTCCATTAGACGTGCAGGTGGTAGTTAATACACGTAAGTAGAATTAATATACTACTTTATATCACACACAGATATAATTTATATGACTGTATTTTATACAAAGACAGTAATATCTTACTACATTTTACTCCAAAACAATATAACATCACTTTATTATACAAAAAATCGCTAATATTTTAACTGTATTTTACACAAAGACAGTATTATAACACCTGTAAAATGGAGTATAATATATAAAGTGTACATGTACCTAATTTCATACGAGCCTTCCGGATTATTTTCATTCCGTAATATTGATCAATCAATCCCGATCAGTATACATTACGCTGGTAATTTTAAAGTACATTATACCATACAATAGATCGGTATTCTATATACACTAGGGTGGTAATTTTATAGTACATTATACCATACAATAGATCAGTATTCTATATACACTAGGGTGGTAATTTTATAGTACATTATACCATACGATAGATCGGTATTCTATATACACTAGGGTGGTAATTGTATAGTACATTAAACCATACAATAGATCGGTATTCTATATACACTAGGGTGGTAATTTTATAGTACATTATACCATACAATAGATCGGTATTCTATATACACTAGGGTGGTAATTTTATAGTACATTATACCATACGATACATCGGTATTCTATATACACTAGGGTGGTAATTTTATAGTACATTATACCATACAATAGATCGGTATTCTATATACACTAGGGTGGTAATTTTATAGTACATTATACCATACAATAGATCGGTATTCTATATACACTAGGGTGGTAATTTTATAGTACATTATACCATACAATAGATCGGTATTCTATATACACTAGGGTGGTAATTTTATAGTACATTATACCATACAATAGATCGGTATTCTATATACACTAGGGTGGTAATTTTATAGTACATTATACCATACAATAGATCGGTATTCTATATACACTAGGGTGGTAATTTTATAGTACATTATACCATACAATAGATCGGTATTCTATATACACTAGGGTGGTAATTTTATAGTACATTATACCATACAATAGATCGGTATTCTATATACACTAGGGTGGTAATTTTATAGTACATTATACCATACAATAGATCGGTATTCTATATACACTAGGGTGGTAATTTTATAGTACATTATACCATACAATAGATCGGTATTCTATATACACTAGGGTGGTAATTTTATAGTACATTATACCATACAATAGATCGGTATTCTATATACACTAGGGTGGTAATTTTATAGTACATTATACCATACAATAGATCGGTATTCTATATACACTAGGGTGGTAATTTTATAGTACATTATACCATACAATAGATCGGTATTCTATATACACTAGGGTGGTAATTTTATAGTACATTATACCATACAATAGATCGGTATTCAGTATACACTAGGGTGGTAATTTTATAGTACATTATACCATACGATAGATCGGTATTCAGTATACACTAGGGTGGTAATTTTATAGTACATTATACCATACAATAGATCGGTATTCAGTATACACTAGGGTGGTAATTGTATAGTACATTATACCATACGATAGATCGGTATTCAGTATACACTAGGGTGGTAATTTTATAGTACATTATACCATACGATAGATCGATATTCAGTGTACTCTAGGGTGGTAATTTTATAATACATCATACCATACAATGGATCGGTATGTATACTGGATACCGATCTATTGTATTGTATAATGTACTATAATTTTGATTATGGTATTCTTAATGTACATTATATCATATAATAGATCGGTATTCAGTATACACTAGGTGTTAATTGTATAGTACATTCTAACACGATCTGTTTGCAACGCGTGTTTGGTTTGGATACGGACCATGTTCTAATCTGAGATAGAATCATGATCAATCGTATTAAGCTCCTCCAATCGCACTTAATCCACGCCCCGTTTCTAACAAAAACAATATGGCGTCAAGCAAAATCCCGCTGATATTCCCTACAGCAGGCAACAGAACAGAAACGACCGATGAAATGTATTTGTTGAATGAATTAAATAGTAAAAAGTAAACATTTATTACTCTTCACAAATCTATACAAATAATCATCGATTTTTCCGATAGGTACAGATTGGTATGCATACTGCCATGGAAATGTAAGAATTTGGTCAATATTAATCCAAATGTGTCGTATAAACTTTAGTAACTTCCGCCTCGTCAACATACAGATCGAGCGCTCGCCAGTATGGGCGGGCCAAATGGCCGACTTTTGAAAGCTTCTTTCCGATTGGTCAGTCCACTTCAGAATGACACGTCGCCGGTTCAGGTCACAGAGTAAATACAATGTTTCTAAACATATAAGCATAGTATGTTTGTTAATATAAACCAAATTTCATATTCTAATCGCCAGTATAGCCACTCACAACAACATACGATACCCTGGTCATGTTATGAAAATAAACAGAACACTTTGTAGAGATGTGCCTACAATTTTATTTTCAATAGTTACCGGTTTTTTTATTCCTTTCTCTATCAAAATTCTTTTTCCAAACACTAGTTTTGTAGTCTTAACACGTCATTATATCAGTATTATTCAAAAAACCTCAATCTGTGTTACAGTGTTAGGATTAGTACCACTTGGACAGACCAAACTTAAAACAACCAAGGTCGATTGTACAGAACCCCAAGAGTACGATGGCGTCGGAATCGCCGGATTGTAAGTATACCTATCTCCATTATGTCTATCATACCTATCTCCATTATGTCTATCATATCTATCTCCATTATGTCTATCATACCTATCTCCACAATATCTATCATACCCATCTCTCCATTATGTCTATCATACCTTTCTCTCCATTATGTCTATCATACCTATCTCCATGATGTCTATCATACCTATCTCCATTATGCCTATCATACCTATCTCCATTATGTCTATCATGCCTATCTTCATTATGTCTATCATACCTATCTCCATTATGTCTATCATGCCTATCTTCATTATGTCTATCATACCTATCTCCATTATGTTTATCATACCTATCTCCATCATGTCTATCATATCTATCTCCCCATTATGTCTATCATACCTATCTCCTTTATTTCATCATACCTATCTCCATCATGTCTATCATACCCATCTCTCCATTATGTCTATCATACCTATCTCTCCATGATTTCTATCATACCTATCTCCATGATGTCTATCATACCTATCTATCCATTATGTCTATCATACCTATCTCTCCATTATGATACCTATCTCTCCATCATATCTATCATACCTATCTCCCCATTATGTCTATCATACCTATCTCCATTGTTTCATCATACCTATCTCCATCATGTCTATCATACCCATCTCTCCATTATGTCTATCATACCTATCTCCATTATGTCTATCATACCTATCTCTCCATTATGTCTATCATACCTATCTCTCCATCATATCTATCATACCTATCTCCCCATTATGTCTATCATACCTATCTCCATTATTTCATCATACCTATCTCCATCATGTCTATCATACCTATCTCTCCATTATGTCTATCATACCTATCTCTCCATTATGTCTATCATACCTATCTCCATTATGTCTATCATACCTATCTCCATTATGTCTATCATACCTATCTCTCCATTATGTCTATCATACCTATCTCCATTATGTCTATCATACCTATCTCCATTATGTCTATCATACCTATCTCCATTATGTCTATCATACCTATCTCCATTATGTCTATCATACCTATCTCCATTATGTCTATCATACCTATCTCCATTATGTCTATCATACCTATCTCCATTATGTCTATCATACCTATCTCCATTATGTCTATCATACCTATCTCCATTATGTCTATCATACCTATCTCCATTATGTCTATCATACCTATCTCCATTATGTCTATCATACCTATCTCTCCATTATGTCTATCATACCTATCTCTCCATTATGTCTATCATACCTATCTCCATTATGTCTATCATACCTATCTCCATTATGTCTATCATACCTATCTCCATTATGTCTATCATACCTATCTCCATTATGTCTATCATACCTATCTCCATTATGTCTATCATACCTATCTCCATTATGTCTATCATACCTATCTCCATTATGTCTATCATACCTATCTCCATTATGTCTATCATACCTATCTCCATTATGTCTATCATACCTATCTCCATTATGTCTATCATACCTATCTCTCCATTATGTCTATCATACCTATCTCTCCATTATGTCTATCATACCTATCTCCATTATGTCTATCATACCTATCTCTCCATTATGTCTATCATACCTATCTCCATTATGTCTATCATACCTATCTCCATTATGTCTATCATACCTATCTCCATTATGTCTATCATACCTATCTCCATTATGTCTATCATACCTATCTCCATTATGTCTATCATACCTATCTCCATTATGTCTATCATACCTATCTCCATTATGTCTATCATACCTATCTCCATTATGTCTATCATACCTATCTCCATTATGTCTATCATACCTATCTCCATTATGTCTATCATACCTATCTCCATTATGTCTATCATACCTATCTCCATTATGTCTATCATACCTATCTCTCCATTATGTCTATCATACCTATCTCCATTATGTCTATCATACCTATCTCCATTATGTCTATCATACCTATCTCCATTATGTCTATCATACCTATCTCCATTATGTCTATCATACCTATCTCCATTATGTCTATCATACCTATCTCCATTATGTCTATCATACCTATCTCCATTATGTCTATCATACCTATCTCCATTATGTCTATCATACCTATCTCCATTATGTCTATCATACCTATCTCCATTATGTCTATCATACCTATCTCCATTATGTCTATCATACCTATCTCTCCATTATGTCTATCATACCTATCTCCATTATGTCTATCATACCTATCTCCATTATGTCTATCATACCTATCTCCATTATGTCTATCATACCTATCTCCATTATGTCTATCATACCTATCTCCATTATGTCTATCATACCTATCTCCATTATGTCTATCATACCTATCTCCATTATGTCTATCATACCTATCTCCATTATGTCTATCATACCTATCTCTCCATTATGTCTATCATACCTATCTCCATTATGTCTATCATACCTATCTCCATTATGTCTATCATACCTATCTCCATTATGTCTATCATACCTATCTCCATTATGTCTATCATACCTATCTCCATTATGTCTATCATACCTATCTCCATTATGTCTATCATACCTATCTCCATTATGTCTATCATACCTATCTCCATTATGTCTATCATACCTATCTCCATTATGTCTATCATACCTATCTCCATTATGTCTATCATACCTATCTCCATTATGTCTATCATACCTATCTCCATTATGTCTATCATACCTATCTCCATTATGTCTATCATACCTATCTCCATTATGTCTATCATACCTATCTCCATTATGTCTATCATACCTATCTCCATTATGTCTATCATACCTATCTCCATTATGTCTATCATACCTATCTCCATTATGTCTATCATACCTATCTCCATTATGTCTATCATACCTATCTCCATTATGTCTATCATACCTATCTCCATTATGTCTATCATACCTATCTCCATTATGTCTATCATACCTATCTCCATTATGTCTATCATACCTATCTCCATTATGTCTATCATACCTATCTCCATTATGTCTATCATACCTATCTCCATTATGTCTATCATACCTATCTCCATTATGTCTATCATACCTATCTCCATTATGTCTATCATACCTATCTCTCCATTATGTCTATCATACCTATCTCCATTATGTCTATCATACCTATCTCCATTATGTCTATCATACCTATCTCCATTATGTCTATCATACCTATCTCCATTATGTCTATCATACCTATCTCCATTATGTCTATCATACCTATCTCCATTATGTCTATCATACCTATCTCCATTATGTCTATCATACCTATCTCCATTATGTCTATCATACCTATCTCCATTATGTCTATCATACCTATCTCCATTATGTCTATCATACCTATCTCTCCATTATGTCTATCATACCTATCTCTCCATGATGTCTATCATGCCTATCTCCATGATGTCTATCATACCTATCTCCATGATGTCTATCATACCTATCTCCATTATGTCGATCATACCTATCTCTCCATTATGTCTATCATACTTATCTCCATGATGTCTATCATACCTATCTCTCCATGATGTCTATCATACCTATATCCATTATCTCTATCATACCTATCTCTCCATTATGTCTATCATACTTATCTCCATGATGTCTATCATACCTATCTCTCCATGATGTCAATCATACCTATATCCATTATCTCTATCATACCTATCTCTACATTATGTCTATCATACCTATCTCTACATTATGTCTATCATACCTATCTCTCCATGATGTCTATCATACATATCTCCATTATGTCTATCATACCTATCGCCAGTATGTCTATCATACCTATCTCCATTATGTCGATCATACCTATCTCTCCATTATGTCTAGCATACTTATCTCCATGATGTCTATCATACATATCTCTCCATGATGTCTATCATACCTATATCCATTATCTCTATCATACCTATCTCTACATTATGTCTATCATACCTATCTCTCCAAGATGTCTATCATACCTATACCCATTATGTCTATCATACCTATCTCTCCATTATGTCTATCATACCTATCTCCATTATGTCTATCATACCTGTCTCTCCATGATGTCTATCATACCTATCTTCATTACGTCTGTCATACCTATCTCCATTATGTCTATCATACCTTTTTCCATTATGTCTATCATACCTATCTGCATTATGGTATGTCTGTCATAATGTAAGCGCGTAGCTCATTGACGCTGAAGGCGCTCGAGCGTTAACAGAGTTGCTTCCCCTTGTTACACATTGGAATGTGGCACATTGCACCTCCGTAATCTCATTTAAGCATAGTTTCGTATTTGTTTCTGCGCATGGTCGGAAAATCTTTAAATTCCTATCGCGGTAAAGTCGAAGTGGTGCAGTAATGGTCCATTTTTACTGTTTAATTTTATTAAATTTTCACTAATTGTGTAGGTTGTATATCGTGTCAGCGACGTGCAAAAGGGGTGTTGGCAAGTAATTGTTTTCTCGCGTTCAAAACAAAGATGTAGTAACCACCAGAAAACCGGTAGGGTGGAGTGTGTCTTCGTAGAAGACTCGAGAGGTAATAATTTCTTTGACAAGTATCCTCCACTAGATATTAGCATTTGATGTAAAATTCAATTAAAAAGGGGCTATGATTGATACTTTAACCAAGGAGACAGTTCATAGTTTATTTAAAAGTGCATTATCAAATGAAATCTTTGTAAAAATTACGACAGGTATCAATGAAATGATATTGTTTTGTATTCCATGTGCTGTATCTTCTCTCTCAGAATATGACGTTATTACCAAATTGTTGACATTTAACATGCAGTTAAAAATGTACATTTTCGTGCCTTAAAAAATCATTGAGTAACAATAGTTCAGCATGTAAGTATATTGAACGTGAACAGAATATGCTAAACGTTAAAATTAATGCCATTAAAATTCGAAGAATAGTATGTGTTTTTCCTCTAAAGATCTGGTTTACAGCAGCTTCGCTGTATTTCTTGTTTTTGATTAAAAACTAATATACATTCTGAGTGAAAAATGTCCGTCGCAAAAAACGTGATGCTAACATGCATGTAACTTTGTTCACAGAATATCGTATTATGACGTCACAAACACGTCATACTCCATCGGCCTTCATCGGTTATTTCCGGAAGGACGAAAAATAACCGGAATTTACAGTATCACTTTGTCGTTGCTTTAGGGGTTTTATTACGGAGGCGTTTATAACGATCACCTATCGGACGTGACCTCAGTCATTTCTTTCCAGCGGAAGTACGGAATTTGCGACGTCTGTTGGTACAAATGTAACCTCCGTTACTGAAATGCTAGGGAGAACACTTTTTTAGCACTTCGTTCATAGTATATGTAAGACATACTAACTTATTCAAATATCCTGATAATGTTGTTAACATTTCAGTTTACACTTTTTTCAATAACATTACTAACATTGACTTTATAATCTTTATACTATATTCCCCTGCATAAATTTTTGAACATTTATCAAATTATAAAAAAATACTGTTGAAAGGGAGACAACTGCGAAATAGTAGTTACGGATGAGGACAACGGTTACACTACAAGAAAAATAGTTCTCATAACAGTCAAGCACAAAGCATACGATTATCTTCGAAGAGTGGACTTTAAATCTCCTGTTGTAAACTACGCGCAACAATCTGCATGGCTGTCGCGCGCTTTTTTCCAATTCGCCCTATTGAATGAGTGATACTCGTATTTATTAACACGTGTTTGGGCCAAAGTGGAATCAGACTGGATGGGGGAGCGGGGGATATTTGGCGACAGTTCCAGTTGAACATCATTCGAAGTTCCAGTGTTTGATAAGCGGGTAACTTTGATGGTTAGTAGTTCTAAGTTTAAAAATAAGTTGAATGCATATCAATAATCGTGTTGGCATCTATAATTGCTTTATTTCAAATTTCACCATTCGCTATTATTTCCCATGTCCAAATATCTGACTTACGTCTCCTTCAGTACTTCAAGTACTATGATTTATTTCTGTTTTTTTGTCACAGAGTGAAAAAGCTGATATTTTTTTAAGATCCTCTTTGTCATCAAGGTTCTATTAATATTTCTACCTGGAGATATCTTGAAAAAAAACCGGCATGAAACCAAAAGATCTACTTGAACATTCATTTTTTAACACCTAAAATCACAACAGTTTCTGATTTCAAATTGTTGAGAATATGAACGAAATAATCAAAAAAAATTGAAGTCTTGTTATAGTCTTAAAATAACTTTTATGCATCACCACTCATACAAAAAACCCAACTGATATTGCATTTTCGTCGAAATCAACAATTGTTTTCAAAACTACCAACCCGAATTTAACGCCTTTTTTTAGCAACGCGTGCCGATATATAGCTAGTGACAGATAGAAACTGTTTAATTTTATTTGGCTACCTTACCTGTCAAATCTCGGTGACTGTAACAAAATTTGAAATTCAACCCGGTGTTTCAGGATGGAATAGGAATTGAGACTAAATATCGATGTAACGACAATCTTGGTGACATCAAATTACATTGTATAACAAATATCTCTGTTTTATTTAATTTTTTTCAATTAATATCTTTAAGAATTAATTTAGAATTGTCGACAAATATGTAATATGAACTTTTTTCTAGAGCAATTACCAAACAGTTTTTCCCCAACTTATCTCAATCATATTTTTTTGTGCTCCGACGGAAGCACGCAGAGGATTTTTTAAATTCTTAATGTGGGGGAAAACCGGAGCAACAGAAGAAAACCCGCGTGGTCGGGCAGGTGACCGGGTTTGAATCCGGACATTTCGGTGAAGACGAGCGCGCTATCCGCTGCTTCTAACAACCCACTATATAAGTTTCGCACACGAACATAAATCTCCTGGAGCTTTGACTGGAAGAAAATGGCGTCATTGATGCAAAAGATATATATTATGAATACATTTTTATTAATTATCTATGATACAAAGAAATCTACATTCGGGAAACCGGGGTAAGTTCGGCCACCCCTGATATTTTTGATTTTTAGCCAATATTTACAAATTAAGGATCTTAGCAGTTAAGTTGGCTGGGCATTCACACGAAGAAATGTCGAGGAAAATTCTAATGTAAAATTACTAAACAGGAGAAAGATACTTTTGAGAGGGTAGGAAGACAATCATGATCTCGCTTCTTTCTAGTAATGCGAACTTTCTGTAAACGGAATTGCTCCTTTTTTACCGCCAAATGTGTAACACACTGACAGCTTCAAATGATATACATAAAAGTTAAACCAAGCACTTGCTATCACATTGCTGTGCTATAAGAATATTTTTAAATATCAATTTAGATCCATGATACCGGGGCAAGTTTGCCCAATGCAACACATAAAATGTCGTAAAATTGGTTGGAAAATCTGACGTTGCATGATTTATGACGTCATAGCTGATTCTCTTGTCCGAACTTACTCCATGGCGGGGTTCGTTCGGCCATCCGATCTTTCGACAGGAAAAGTTAATAAATTCTTCAAACGCTGAATAGGCTTTAAAACAGTTGAAAAATAGTAAGAGTGCTGTTCCTGATCTGATAATCATATAATCATATCACATTTTATCAACTCAAATAGACGATTATTTTGCACGACTACGTGATTAGGGACAACTTATAGTGTTAGTTAATCAAGCTGGCCATCCGAGGAAATATGATTAATATTATCAAGTCGATGTACAGCACTGTTAAGTCTAGAGTTAAAGTTAATAGTGAAGTATCGGATGAGTTTACTTGTGTGACAGGGGTAAGGCAATGTGAAAGCTTTCACCATTTTTATGTGCAATGTTTGTTCATGATCTGGAGAATTAACTGATTGCTAAAGGTGTTAGTTATTAATTAGCTTCCTTAAAGTTTTTCTTCTGCTTTATGCAGATGATATAACCACTATTGCAGAAACAGCTGTTGGTTCACAGTTGGGATTAGATATTTTGTATGACTACTGTGAAAGAGGGAAATGAAGGTAAATGTAGTGAAAACAAATGTTATTGTTTCTCAAAGGATGAAGGTTCCGCGACTCCTTACAGTGTTCCCTAGGTGGCCAGGAGATTGAGATTATTAGCAGATTCTCCTACTTACGTGTTATGTTAACGGCAAAAGTCTCTTTTTCGGAAACTCAAAAAACGTTAGCGGAACAAGGCTCCAAGGCATTATTTCAGTTGGAAAAGTGGACAAGAAAGTGTATTGGACTGAGTCATAAACACATGCGTAATTTATTTGATAAACTAGTCAGTCCAGTTCTATGTTATGGGAGCGAGGTGTGGGGTTTCAATACTGCTATGGCTATTGAGATGTTTCATTTAAAGTTATGTAAAAGCTTAATGGGTCACAAATCTGCCACACAGAATAGTTTTGTATATGGTGAACTCGGTAGTACGCCTTTGAGGATGTTGAAGTATAATAGAATTATCAAGCATTGGTTAAAAATTGTGTGTGGAAATAATTTGTAGTAATTTCAAGTAATTGAAACATAAGTATAGCAAAATTGAAAATAATTAGAAAAACATCACTGTAACCAAATTTTATGATAATGATGCACTCTTTTATTGATATTTCATCAACATCATCAGCTGTACTGTAGGCCTTAACTTGGGAACATGTCACCGACCCCAATTTCTCTTAATGTAGCAGGTCTGACCCAAAGGTATCATCAAGCAAAAAAAAACATGCTTATCGGTATGGACCGTAAAACGACCGTGTTTTGCACCGATCCCGTACATAGTTTGAAGTAAGATATACACAGACTTGTCAATAATAAAGCGTTAATTTACAGGATATTGTACCAGCTAACTTGCCATTTATCTGTTTCAGTACAGTGTGTGGCGTGTTTCTTGTCCTGATGGTGTTGTCGACCTTGTTCGATGTTGTTTACTCTCGAAGACAGAAACAGTCTAACGAGACGGTGCCGTACGAGAAAGATGTTTCTGTAGAGAGTAAATACCGTGTCAACGGGGACATAGAAAAACCTTCAAAACCCAAACAACCAGGTATATATTGGGACACGCATGTCCTGGTAATTTAACAGAGATAACATACATATGTTTTACAAACAATTACACGTCTTTTTAAACGAAACAGAAAACCTTTATTGGTGTATTTTCGAACTCTTAAATGACATTTTTATATTATTCCTTTCCTGATGTAATTATATTTTGTGATGTTCATCTGTTGTTTCCCTATTTGTAGGCGTGTTAGCGAGACTTGCCATGGCGTTTTCTGTGTTCACTAATGGCCGGAAGTTGATGAGCACAGGACAGCCAGGTGGCGCTCTTGGCGCCGTCAATGGAATTCGATTCCTCAGTATTTCCTGGGTTGTTCTAGGACATTCGTTTTCTTTCGGCATGCAAGAAATGCGTAAGTAACGTGTGACGATAGAAAAAAACGATGTTAAATGATCTATAGTTGATTGTATATGACATGCAATGTCACCTGATGGTATTTTCTTTTGATACATGCTGATGATTTGTTATATCGCGTGGTTATGTCTTGTTATGTGACGTAATGATGTTTTGCTATATGTAACGTGATAAATTTATTTTCTGTCGAGTGATGATTTTTTTATGTAACGTGAGGATATATCGATATCTAAGTTGATTTATAATGTTATTCTTTTCGTTATGGTGTATCTGTAAATTGACTGTTATTGTAAATACTATATATAAAAGTATTCCTTTATCTTGCTTATATTTCAGAAAACCCGGTATTCACTGCTGACTTCTTAGGCAACTGGTCTTCGATGGTTTTAGCCAATGGTCTCCTCTCTGTCGATTCATTCTTCACTCTCAGGTACATCTGTAATTATACGGAAATTACATTCTACCTTACACATTCATCTACGAAAGACATCTAAACATTATACTTTTTACTTACATGCAAATACCGATCGATAGACCGGTATATTGATATTACAAACGGTTGTTGTATCGGTGTATTTGTATTTGTTTAATGGACAAGTGTATTTCATTGCAGCGGACTATTGGTATCCTACCTGTTCATGAAGGAGATGAAGAGAGAGAAGGGGCGTATCAACTGGTTCATGTTCTATTTCCACCGCTTCTGGAGGTGAGTATCAACTGGTTTATGTTCTACTTCCACCGCTTCTGGAGGTGAGTATCAACTGGTTCATGATCTACTTCCATAGGTTCTGGAGGTGAGTATCAACTGCTTCATGTTCTATTTCCACCGTTTCTGGAGGTGAGTATCAACTGGTTCATGTTCTATTTCCACCGTTTCAGGAGGTAAGTATCAACTGGTTCATGTTCTACTTCCATAGGTTCTGGAGGTGAGTATCAACTGCTTCATGTTCTATTTCCACCGTTTCAGGAGGTGAGTATCAACTGGTTCATGTTCTATATCTACGTTCCTGGAGGTCAGTATTAACTGGTTCATGTACTATTCAGAAAAAACACCCTGGAGACGAGTATCAACTGATTCATGTTCTATTTCTACAGCTACTGGAGGTGAGTAGAAACTGGTTCAGGTTCTATTATCACCGTTTCTGGAGATCAGTTTCAACTGGTTCATGTTCTATTTCTATGTTTATTGAGTTCAGTATCAACTGGGTCATGTTCTGTATATATTGTCACCGTGTCGATTGTTTTGAATCATTGTTCATTGTTGTGAATCACTGTTGGATTCTTGTGAATTACTGTTCATTGTTGTGAATCACTGTTCATTGTTGTGAATCGCTGTTGGATTGTTGTGAATCACTGTTCATTGTTGTGAATCAAGGTTTTTTGTTGCGAATAACTGTTTATTGTTGTGAATCACTGTTCTTTGTTTTGAATAACTGTTCTTTTTTGTGAATCACTGTTCATTGTTGTGAATCACTGTTCAATGATGTGAATCACTGTTCATTGTTGTGAATCACTGTTTATTTTGTTGAATCAATGTTCTTTGTTGTGAATCACTGATCATTGTTGTGAATCACTGTTCATTGTTGTGAATCACGGTTCATTGTTGTGAATAACTGTTCTTTGTAGTGAATCACTGTTCATTGTTGTGAATCAGTGTTCAATGTTGTGAATCACTGTTGGATTCTTGTGAATCACTGTTCTTTGTTGTGAATCACTGTTCATTGTTGTGAATCACTGTTCAATGTTGTGAATCACTGTTCATTGTTGTGAATCACGGTTCATTGTTGTGAATAACTGTTCTTTGTAGTGAATCACTGTTCATTGTTGTGAATCAGTGTTCAATGTTGTGAATCACTGTTGGATTCTTGTGAATCACTGTTCTTTGTTGTGAATCACTGTTCATTGTTGTGAATCACTGTTGGATTGTTGTGAATCACTGTTTATTGTTGTGAATCACTGTTCATTGTTGTTAATCACAGTTCATTGTTGTGAATCACTGTTCTTTGTTGTAAATCACAGTTCATTGTTGTAAATCACTGTTATGTGTTGCGAATCACTGTTCTTAGTTGTAAATCGCTGTTGATTGTTGTGAATCACTGTTCATTGTTGTGAATCACTGTTCTTTGTTGTGAATTACTGTTGAATTGTTGTGAATCACTGTTCATTGTTGTGAATCAATGTTCATTGTTGTGAATCACTGTTCATTGTTTTGAATCACTGTTCTTTGTTGTGAATCACTGTTTATTGTTGTGAATCACTGTTCATTGTTGTTCACTACTGTTCTTTGTTGTGAATCACTGTTTATTGTTGTGAATCACTGTTTTTTGTTGTCTATCACTGTTCATTGTTGTGAATCACTGTTGGATTGTTGTGAATCACTGTTCATTGTTGTGAATCACTGTTCATTGTTGTGAATCAATGTTCTTTGTTGTCAATCACTGTTCATTGTTGTGAATCACTGTTCATTGTTATGAATCACTGTTCATTGTTGTCAATCACAGTTCATTGTTGTGAATCACTGTTGTATTGTGGTGAATCACTGTTGAATTGTTGTGAACCACTGTTCATTGTTGTGAATCACTGTTCTTTGTTGTAAATCACTGTTCATTGTTGTAAATCACTGTTATGTGTTGCGAATCACTGTTCTTTGTTGTGAATCACTGTTGGATTGTTGTGAATCAGTGTTCATTGTTGTGAATCACTGTTCATTGTTTTGAATCACTGTTCATTGTTGTGAATCACTGTACATTGTTGTGAATCCCTGTTCATTGTTGTGAATCACTGTTCATTGTTTTGAATCACTGTTCATTGTTGTGAATCACTGTACATTGTTGTGAATCCCTGTTCATTGTTGTGAATCACTGTTCATTGTTGCTGTTCATTGTTATGAATCACTGTTCATTGTTGTGAACCAATGTTCTTTGTTGTCAATCACTGTTCATTGTTGTGAATGACTGTTCATTGTTATGAATCACTGTTCATTGTTGTCAATCACAGTTCATTGTTGTGAATCACTGTTGTATTGTGGTGAATCACTGTTGAATTGTTGTGAACCACTGTTCATTGTTGTGAATCACTGTTCATTATTGTGAATCAGTGTTCATTGTTGTGAATCACTGTTCATTGTTGTTGATCACTGTTCTTTGTTGTGAATCACTGTTCATTGCTGTGAATCACTGTTCTTTGTTGTGAATTACTGTTGGATTGTTGTGAATCACAATTTTTTGTTGTGAATCACTGTTCATTGTTGTGAATTACTGTTCATTGTTATGAATCACTGTTCATTGTTGTGAATCACTGTACATTGTTGTGAATCCCTGTTCATTGTTGTGAATCACTGTTCTTTGTTGTGAATCCCTGTTTGATTGTTGTGAATCACTGTTCATTGTTGTGAATTACTGTTCATTGTTATGAATCACTGTTCATTGTTGTCAATCACAGTTCATTGTTGTGAATCACTGTTGGATTGTACTGTTCATTGTTGTGAATCACTGTTGGATTGTGGTGAATCTCTGTTGAATTGTTGTGAACCACTGTTCATTGTTGTGAATCACTGTTCATTGTTATGAATCACTGTTCATTGTTGTGAACCAATGTTCTTTGTTGTCAATCACTGTTCATTGTTGTGAATGACTGTTCATTGTTATGAATCACTGTTCATTGTTGTGAATCACTGTTTTTTGTTGTCAATCACAGTTCATTGTTGTGAATCACTGTTGTATTGTGGTGAATCACTGTTGAATTGTTGTGAACCACTGTTCATTGTTGTGAATCACTGTTCATTGCTGTGAATCACTGTTCTTTGTTGTGAATTACTGTTGGATTGTTGTGAATCACTTTTGGATTGTTGTGAATCACTGTTCATTGTTGTGAATCACAGTTCATTGTTGTGAATCACTGTTGTATTGTGGTGAATCACTGTTGAATTGTTGTGAACCACTGTTCATTGTTGTGAATCACTGTTCATTGCTGTGAATCACTGTTCTTTGTTGTGAATTACTGTTGGATTGTTGTGAATCACTGTTGGATTGTTGTGATTCACTGTTCATTGTTGTGAATCACTGTTTATTGTTGTGAATCACTGTTTATTTTGTTGAATCAATGTTCTTTGTTGTGAATCACTGATCATTGTTGTGAATCACTGTTCATTGTTGTGGATCACTGTTCATTGTTGTGAATCACTGTTGGATTGTGGTGAATCACTGTTGAATTGTTGTGAACCACTGTTCATTGTTGTGAATCACTGTTCTTTGTTGTGAATTACTGTTGAATCACTGTTCATTGTTATGAATCACTGTTCATTGTTGTGAACCAATGTTCTTTGTTGTCAATCACTGTTCATTGTTGTGAATTACTGTTGGATTGTTGTGAATCTTTGTTCATTGTTGTGAATCACTGTTCAGTGTTATGAATCCCTGTTCATTGTTGTGAATCACTGTTCATTGTTGCTGTTCATTGTTATGAATCACTGTTCATTGTTGTCAATCACAGTTCATTGTTGTGAATCACTGTTGGATTGTACTGTTCATTGTTGTGAATCACTGTTGGATTGTTGTCAATCACTGTTTATTGTTGTCAATCACAGTTCCTTGTTGTGAATCACTGTTTATTGTTGTCAATTACTGTTCATTGTTGTGAATCACTGTTGAATTGTTGTGAATCACTGTTCATTGTTGTGAATTACTGTTCATTGTTATGAATCACTGTTCATTGTTGTGAATCACTGTTGGATTGTTGTCAATCACTGTTTATTGTTGTCAATCACAGTTCATTGTTGTGAATCACTGTTTATTGTTGTGAATCACTGTTTTTTGTTGTCTATCACTGTTCATTGTTGGGAATCACTGTTGGATTGTTGTGAATCACTGTTCATTGTTGTGAATCACTGTTCAGTGTTGTGAATCCCTGTTCATTGTTGTGAATCACTGTTCTTTGTTGTGAATCACTGTTGATTGTTGTGAATCACTGTTTTTTGTTGTCTATCACTGTTCATTGTTGTGAATCACTGTTGGATTGTTGTGAATCACTGTTCATTGTTGTGAATCACTGTTCATTGTTGTGAATCACTGTTCATTGTTGTGAATCACTGTTCATTGTTGTGAATCACTGTTCATTGTTGTGAAACACTGTTCTTTGTTGTGAATCACTGTTCATTGATGTGAATCACTGTTCTTTGTTGTGAATCACTGTTCATTGTTGTGAATCAATGGATATTGTAGTAAATCACTGTTGGATTGTTGTCAATCACTGATCGACTGTTTTAAATCGCTGTTGGAATGTTGTGAATCACTGTTGTATTGATGTTGATCACTGTTCATTGTGTAAATTATGTGATGTGTACTGTGTTCATTGTGTGATGTTTACTGTATATATTATGTGACGTTTTTGTGTACATTATGTGATGTTTACTGTGTACATTAAGTGTTGTGTACTGTGTATATTATGTGATGTTCACTATGTTTATTATGTGATGTTCACTATGTACATTATGTGATGTTCATTTTGTTTATTATGTGCTGTATACTGAGTACATTTTGTGGTGTTTACTGTGTATATCATGTGCTGTATACTGAGTACATTATGTGAAGTTTAATGTGTCCATTGTGTGATGTTCACTATGTACAATATGTAGTGTTCACTGTGTACATTATGTGATGTTCACTGTCTACATTATCTGCTGTTTACTGTATATATTATGTGATGTTTTTGTGTACATTATGTTGTGTTTACTGTGTACAATATGTGATATTAACTATGCACATTGTGTGATATTTACTGTGTACATTATGTGGTGTTTACTGTGTCCATTGTGTAATGTTGTCTGTGTACTTTGTGTGATGTTTACTGTGTACATTTTGTGATGTTTTCTGTGTACATTGTGTGATGTTTACTGTGTACATTTTGTGATGTTTACTATGGACATTGTGTTATGTTTACTGTGTACATTGTGTGATGTATACTGTGTACATTGTGTGATGTATACTGAGTACAATATGTGATGTTTACTATGGACATTGTGTTATGTTTACTGTGTACATTATGTGATGTTCAATGTCTACATTATCTGCTGTATACTGAGTACAATATGTGATGTTTACTGTGTACATTGTGTGATGTATACTGTGTATATCATGTGGTGTTCACTGTGTACATTATGTGAACTGTCCTGTGGACATGATGTGATGTTTTCTGTGTACATTGTGTGATTTTTCCTGTGTACATTGTGTGATGTTTACTGTGTACATTTAGTGATGTTCACTGTGTATACAATGTATTATGTGCGGTATACTGAGTACAGTGTGTGGTGTTTACTGTGAACATTATGTGATGTGTACTGTGTACAGTGTGTGGTGTTTACTGTCTACATTATCTGCTGTTTACTGTGTATATTATGTGATATTAACTGTGTATATTATGTGATGTTTTTGTGTACATTATGGTGTGTTTACTGTGTACAATATGTGCTGTATACTGTGAATATTCAGTGATGTTCACTCTGTATATTATGTGATGTTTACTGTGTGCATTGTGTGATTTAAATTATATGATGTTTTCTTTGCACATTGTGTGATGTTTACTGTGTCCATTGTGTAATGTTGTCTGTGTACATTGTGTGATGTTTACAGTGTACATTTTGTGATGTTTTCTGTGTACTTTATGTGATGTTTTCTGTGTACGTTGTATTGTGTATACTGTGTACATTGTGTGATGTGTACTGTGTACATTGTGTGACGTAAATCATATGTTGTTTTCTGTGTACATTGTGTGATGTTTACTGTGTCCATTGTGTGATACTTACTGTGTCCATTGTGTGATGTTTCCTGTGTACATTGTGTGGTGTTTACTGTGAACATTGTGTGATGTTTTCTGTGTACATTGTATGATGTTTACTGTGTACATTTTGTGATGTAAATTATTTGTTGTTTTCTGTGTACATTGTGTGATGTTTACTGTGTCCATTGTGTAATGTTGTCTGTGTACATTGTGTGTTGTTTACTGTGTACATTTTGTGATGTTTTCTGTGTACTTTGTGTGATGTTTACTGTGAACGTTGTATGGTGTATACTGTGTACATTGTGTGATGTTTACTATGGACATTGTGTTATGTTTACTGTGTACATTGTGTGATGCATACTGTAAATATCATGTGGTGTTCACTTTGTACATTATGTGAACTGTCCTGTGGACATGATGTGATGTTTACTGTGTACATTGTGTTATGTATACTGTGTATATTATGTGCTGTATACTGAGTACATTACGTGGTGTTTACTATGTACATTGTGTGATTTTTTTTCTGTGTACATTGTGTGATGTGTACTGTGTACATTTAGTGATGTTCACTGTGTATACAATGTATTATGTGTGGTATACTGAGTACAGTATGTGGTGCTTACTGTGCACATTTTGTGATATTTACTTTGTACAGTATGTGATGATTACTATGTACATTATTTGGTGTTCACTGTGAACATTATGTGATGTCTACTGTGTACAGTGTGTGGTGTTACTGTCTACATTATCTGCTGTTTACTGTGTATATTCTGTGATGTTCATTCTGTATATTATGTGATGTTTACTGTGTGCATCGTGTGATGATCGCTGTGTAAATCATATTAGGTTTTCTTTGTACATTGTGTGATGTTTACTGTGTCCATTATTGTGTGATGTTTACTGTGTACATCGTGTGATGTAAATTATGTTGTTTTCTGTGTACATTGTATGATGTTTTCTGTGTACATTGTGTGATGTAAATTACGTTGTTTTCTGTGTACATTGTATGATGTTTTCTGTGTACATTGTGTGATGTAAATTACGTTGTTTTCTGTGTACATTGTATGATGTTTTCTGTGTACATTGTGTGATGTTTATTATGTCCATTGTGTGATGTTTACTGTGTACCTTGTGTGATGTAAATTATGTTGTTTTCTGTGTACATTGTATGATGTTTACTGTGTCCATTGTGTGATGTTTACTGTGTACATTGTGTGATGTTTATTGTGTCCATTGTGTGATGTTTACTGTGTACATTGTGTGATGTAAATTATGTTGTTTTCTGTGTACATTGTATGATGTTTTCTGTGTACATTGTGTGATGTTAACTGTGTACATTGTGTGATGTAAATTATTTGTTGTTTTCGTGTACATTGTGTGATGTTTACAGTGTCCATTATGTGATGTTTTCTGTGTACATTGTGTGATGTTTACTGTGTACATTGTGTGATGTTTTCTGTGTACATTGTGTGATGTTTACTGTGTACATTGTGTGATGTTTTCTGTGTACATTTAGTGATGATTTATGCGTACAATGTGTTCTCCTTGTATTGTATGAGACGTTTACTGTTAATATATAATCAAAGTATGTGATGTTCACTTTTAAAATTTAGCGATGTTTATACTGTGAACATGATCAGTTAATATTTTGTTTTATTTATTTGGCTAGACTCACGCCTCCGTACATGTTGATGCTGTTCATCGACATGTCCCTGTTTCGCTACGTCGGAGATGGACCATTTTGGTCCAAAGAGGGTACTGATGGAAAATTTTGCCGAAGTTCATGGTGGACCAATCTTCTGTACATCAACAATGTCGTCAAAACAGACGAGATGGTAGGGTTATTGCAAAACCAAACTCCTTTTAAACCACTGTAATGCAACACTCCAACCCGTATTGGTGGAGATCTTTCGCATCAACAGTTTTGTTTTTTTTATAATGTACATACTTGATAGTAACTGGCATTTGTCAGATGACAAACATGCATAACTCATTATTACAAAAAGTTCAAAACATCAAAATGCTTGTTGTGCCTTCTGCTCAGTGAATACAGATATATATATATATGACCAATAAATTGCGAGGCACTTGTTGACCTGTCAGTGTTCAAATTACATTAAAATCGAATAAAAAAATACCTATTAAATCACTGTACTCCAAACTACATGCACTGATAAACGCAACCACTGTAACTCCAAACACTTGTACATATTCCTGAAACCACTGTAACTCCAAACACTTGTACATATTCCTGAAACCACTGTAACTCCAAACACTTGTACATATTCCTGAAACCACTGTAACTCCAAACACGTGTACATATTCCTGAAACCACTGTAACTCCAAACACTTGTACATATTCCTGAAACCACTGTAACTCCAAACACGTGTACATATTCCTGAAACCACTGTAACTCCAAACACTTGTACATATTCCTGAAACCACTGTAACTCCAAACACGTGTACATATTCCTGAAACCACTGTAACTCCAAACACTTGTACATATTCCTGAAACCACTGTAACTCCAAACACGTGTACATATTCCTGAAACCACTGTAACTCCAAACACTTGTACATATTCCTGAAACCACTGTAACTCCAAACACGTGTACATATTCCTGAAACCACTGTAACTCCAAACACTTGTACATATTCCTGAAACCACTGTAACTCCAAACACGTGTACATATTCCTGAAACCACTGTAACTCCAAACACTTGTACATATTCCTGAAACCACTGTAACTCCAAACACGTGTACATATTCCTGAAACCACTGTAACTCCAAACACTTGTACATATTCCTGAAACCACTGTAACTCCAAACACGTGTACATATTCCTGAAACCACTGTAACTCCAAACACTTGTACATATTCCTGAAACCACTGTAACTCCAAACACTTGTACATATTCCTGAAACCACTGTAACTCCAAACACGTGTACATATTCCTGAAACCACTGTAACTCCAAACACTTGTACATATTCCTGAAACCACTGTAACTCCAAACACTTACACATATTCCTGAAACCACTGTTACTCCAAACACGTGTACATATTCCTGAAACCTCTGTAACTCCAAACACTTGTACATATTCCTGACACCACTGTCACTCCAAACACGTGTACATATTCCTGAAACCACTATAACTCCAAACACTTGTACATCTTCCTGAAACCACTGTAACTCCAAACACTTGTACATATTCCCGAAACAACCACGATAACACTACACTCCAAAACGCTAGCACCGATTAATACTACCACACTAACACTACACTCTTGTACATATTCCTGAAACCACTATAACTCCAAACACGTGTACATATTCCTGAAACTACTGTAACTCCAAACACGTGTACATATTCCTGAAACCACTTTAACTCCAAACACGTGTACATATTCCTGAAACCACTTTAACTCCAAACACGTGTACATATTCCTAAAACCACTATAACTCCAAACACGTATACATATTCCTGAAACCACTGTTACTCCAAACACGTGTACATATTCCTGAAACCTCTGTAACTCCAAACACTTGTACATATTCCTGAAACCACTTTAACTCCAAACACGTGTACATATTCCTGAAACCTCTGTAACTCCAAACACTTGTACATATTCCTGAAACAACCACGATAACACTACACTCCAAAACGCTAGCCCCGATTAATACTACCACACTAACACTACACTCTTGTACATATTCCTGAAACCACTATAACTCCAAACACTTGTACATCTTCCTGAAACCACTGTAACTCCAAACACTTGTACTTATTCCTGAAACCACTGTAACTCCAAACACGCGTACATATTCCTGAAACCACTGTAACTCCAATCCAAACACTTGTACATATTCCTGAAACCACTTTAACTCCAAACACGTGTACATATTCCTGAAACTACTGTAACTCCAAACACTTGTACATATTCCTGAAACAACCACGATAACACTACATTCCAAAACGCTAGCACCGATTAATACTACCACACTAACACTACACTCTTGTACATATTCCTGAAACCACTATAACTCCAAACACGTGTACATATTCCTGAAACTACTGTAACTCCAAACACGTGTACATATTCCTGAAGCCACTGTAACTCCAAACACTTGTACATATTCCTGAATCCACTGTAACTCCAAACACTTGTACATATTCCTGACACCACTGTCACTCCAAACACGTGTACATATTCCTGAAACCACTTTAACTCCAAACACGTGTACATATTCCTGAAACCTCTGTAACTCCAAACACTTGTACATATTCCTGAAACCACTGTAACTCCAATCCAAACACTTGTACATATTCCTGAAACCACTATAACTCCAAACACTTGTACATCTTCCTGAAACCACTGTAACTCCAAACACTTGTACATATTCCTGACACCATTGTGACTCCAAACACGTGTACATATTCCTGAAACCTCTGTAACTCCAAACACTTGTACATATTCCTGACACCACTGTCACTCCAAACACGTGTACATATTCCTGAAACCTCTGTAACTCCAAACACTTGTACATATTCCTGAAACAACCACGATAACACTACATTCCAAAACGCTAGCACCGATTAATACTACCACACTAACACTACACTCTTGTACATATTCCTGAAACCACTATAACTCCAAACACTTGTACATATTCCTGAAACTACTGTAACTCCAAACACTTGTACATATTCCTGAAACCACTGTAACTCCAAACACTTGTACATATTCCTGAAACAACCACGATAACACTACACTCCAAAACGCTAGCACCGATTAATACTACCACACTAACACTACACTCCAAAATACTAACACCAATTAACACTACCACGCTAACACTACAATCCAAAACACTGGCACCAATTAACACTACCACGCTACCACTACACTCCAAAACACTGGCACCGATTAACATTAACACTACACTCCAAAACACTAGCGCCAATTAACACAACCACGATAACACTACACTCCAAAACGCTAGCACCAATTAACACTACACTGTAAAACACTTGCACCAATCAATACAACCACACAAACAATACTCTCAAAAACACATGCACCAATCAATACAACCACGCTAACACTACACTCCAAAACACTGGCACTAATTAACACTAACACGCTTACACTACACTCCAAAACACTGGCACCAATCAATACAATCACACTAACACTACATTCCAAAACACTAGCACCAATTAACACTACCACACTAACACTACACTCCAAAACAGTGACACCAATCAAGACAACCACTGCATTCCAAAACACTAACACCAATTTACTCTAAAACGCTAACACTACATTCCAAAACACTGGCACCAATTAACACAACCACACTGACACTACACTCCAAAACACTGGCACCAATTAACACTACTGCGCTAACACTACACTCCAAAACACTTCCATCAATCAACACAACCACACTAACACTACACTCTAAAACACTGGCACCAATTTACACTACCACGCTACAACTACACTCCAAAACACTGGCACCAATCAACATTAACACTACACTCCAAAACACTAGAGCCAATTAACACAACCACGATAACACTACACTCCAAAACGCTAGCACCAATTAACACTACCACTACACTCCAAAACACTGGCACCTATCAACAAAACCACAATAACGCTTCACTCGAAAACACTGGCACCAATCAACACAACCACACTAACACTACACTCAAAAACACTGGCACTTATCAACACAACCACACTAACACTACACTCCAAAACACTGGCACCAATCAATACAACCATACTAACACTAAACTGCAAAACATTTGCACCAATCAATACAACCACACTAACACTACACTCCAAAACACTGGCACCAATAAATACAACCACACTAACACTACACTCCAAAACACTGGCACCAATTAACACTAACACTACACTCTAAAGCACTGGCACCAATTTACACTACTGCGATAACACTACGCTCAAAAACACTGGCACCAATCAATCAACCACATTAACACGACACTCCAAAACACTTGGACCAATTAACACAACCACGCTTACACTACACTCCAAAACCCTGTCACCAATTAACACTACCACACTAACACTACACTCAAATGCACTGGCACGAATTCAAACAACTGCACGAACACTACACACCGAAACACTGGCACAAATTAACACAACTGCACAATAACACTACACTCCAAAACACTAACACCAATTAACACTACCACGCTAACACTACACTCCAAAACACTAACACCAATTAACACAACCACACTAACCCTACACTCCAAAACACTGGCACCAATTAACACAACCACACTTGCACTACACTCCAAAACACTGGCACCAATCAATACAACCACACTAACACTACAATCAAAATCACTGGCACCAATCAACACAACGACAATAACACTACACTCAAAAACACTGGCACCAATCAACACAACCACACTAACACTCCACTCCAAAACACTGGCACCAATCAACACAACCACACTTACACTGCACTCAAAAACACTGGCACCATTTAACACAACCACGATACCATTATACTCCAATACACTGACACCAATTAACAAAACCACACTAACACTTCACTCCAAAACACTGGCACTGATTAACACTACCACAGTAACACTACACTCCAAAACACTGGCACCAATTAATACAACCACAATAACACTACACTCCAAAACACTAGCACCAATTACCATTACCACGCTAACACTACACTCCAAAACACTGACAACAATTAACACTAACATTACACTCCAAAACTCTGACACCAATTAGCACTAACACTACACTCCAAAACACTAACACCAATTAACACTTCCACAATACCACTACACTCCAAAACACTAAAACCAATCAATACAACCACACTAACACTACAATCAAAAACACTGGCACCAATCAACACAACCATGCTTACACTACACTCAAAAACACTATCACCAATCAATACAATTACACTAACACTACACTCCAAGACACTGGCACCAATCAACACAACCACACTAACACTGCACTCCAAAACACTGGCACCAATCAACACAACCACACTTACACTGCACTCCAAATCACTGGCACCATTTAACTCAACCACGATACCTCTATACTCCAATACACTGACACCAATTAACAAAACCACACTAACACTTCACTCAAAACACTGGCACTGATTTACACTACCACACTAACACTACACTCCAAAACACTGACACCAATCAGGACAACCACTACACTCCAAAACACTAACACCAATTAATACAACCACACTAACACTACAATCCCAAACACTGGCACCAATTAACACTACCACGCTAACACTACACTCCAAAACACTAACACAAATTAACACTACCACGCTACCACTACACTCAAAATCACTAAAACAACCACGCTAACACTACACTCCAAAACACTGGCACCATTTAACACTAACACTACACTCTAAAACACTAACACCAATTAACACAACCACGATACCACTACACTCCAATCCACTGTTATCAAATTACAATTACATTAGAAGAATTGGAGAAAATGTGAAATTCAAATAGAATGGAAAATGTAAACTATGAGAATATTGTATACAATATTTGATTTTAGTGCTTTGGTTGGTCGTGGTACCTAGCCAATGATATGCAGTTTTATGTGGTGAGCCCTCTCCTTCTGGTGCCCCTTTACTTGTAAGTATGATGTGAGCTCTCTCCTTCTGGTGCCCCTTTACTTGTAAGTATGATGTGAGCTCTCTCCTTCTGGTGACTCTTTACTTGTAAGTATGATGTGAGCTCTCTCCTTCTGGTGACTCTTTACTTGTAAGTATGATGTGAGCTCTCTCCTTCTGGTGACTCTTTACTTGTAAGTATGATGTGAGCTCTCTCCTTCTGGTGACTCTTTACTTGTAAGTATGATGTGAGCTCTCTCCTTCTGGTGACTCTTTACTTGTAAGTATGATGTGAGCTCTCTCCTTCTGGTGACTCTTTACTTGTAAGTATGATGTGAGCTCTCTCCTTCTGGTGACTCTTTACTTGTAAGTATGATGTGAGCTCTCTCCTTCTGGTGCCCTTTTACTTGTAAGTATGATGTGAGCTCTCTCCTTCTGGTGCCCCTTTACTTGTAAGTATGATGTGAGCTCTCTCCTTCTGGTGACTTTTTACTTGTAAGTATGATGTGAGCTCTCTCCTTCTGGTGCCCCTTTACTTGTAAGTATGATGTGAGCTGTCTCCTTCTGGTGCCCCTTTACTTGTAAGTTTGATGTGAGCACTCTCCTTCTGGTGCTCCTTTTACTTGTAAGTATGATGTGAGCCGTCTCCTTCTGGTGACTTTTTACTTGTAAGTATGATGTGAGCTCTCTCCTTCTGGTGCCCCTTTACTTGTAAGTATGATGTGAGCTGTCTCCTTCTGGTGCCCCTTTACTTGTAAGTTTGATGTGAGCACTCTCCTTCTGGTGCTCCTTTTACTTGTAAGTATGATGTGAGCCGTCTCCTTCTGGTGACTTTTTACTTGTAAGTATGATGTTAGCTCTCTCCTTCTGGTGCCCCTTTACTTGTAAGTATGATGTAAACCCTCTCCTTCTGGTGCCCCTTTACTTGTAAGTATGATGTGAGCTCTCTCCTTCTGGTGCCCCTTCACTTGTAAGTATGATGTGAGCTCTCTCCTTCTGGTGACTCTTTACTTGTAAGTATGATGCCAAAACAAGTACTTTACCTTCATAGATATAAACAAATTAACGAACTTGTAGCCTATTTCTGTTACATAAACATGTTTTCATGTTTTGTATCATATTTTTTATTAAAATGTGTCTAAGTCATGTTCATCTTAGAGATTAAAAATTTGATATCCTAATAAAATTTGGAATATCTTAGAATATGTTCCGTTTATCATACTTCGTACTGTTTAACATATATATCTGAGTCAGTAACTGTTTTCCACAAACGTGTCAATTGTCAACATCAAATCATTGATAGCTTTGGTTATACACTCCACATCTGCAGGTGGGGGATCGGGAAAAGAATACACCTGCTGTTACCTACTGCATGTATTGTAGGATGGGTTTTGGTGTCCTCTACTTGGGGACACAAAAACCACCACAATAAATATGCTGCAAGCATTGCGATATTTGGTATCTTTATCTTTCTTTCTATTTCTAACTACCTTTTATTTCACATCTAAATTTTGGCTTTAATGTTGAGCCTTCGCCAAAGGTGAAGAAGGCAATGGGTTCTGTCCCCAGGCCGGAACATACTAAAGTCCTTAAAAATGGTAGTTGGTATTCCCTGCTTAACGTTCAGCATCTAGGGGAGTGGCAACAACTGGTTCACCCGTTGTCAGTATAATATGACCGGACGGAATGCTGTGCTGGGGGCCTTCGCAACACTCATGGAGGCACGTCCTTAAATGACCTTAGATGTTAATAGGACGTTAAACAAAGTAAAACCAAACCAAAACACTCCACATCTCGATCTATTATTAAATTGATCCGACATCAGATATATAGTTTAAGATAACATGTATTGTATTGCGTTTGCTATATATTTTGATAGATTGAAAATTAAAAAGTACTTTGTACTTGGAAGTAACTACAGTTTAAAAGTAGCGGTAATTAAAGTAATGTCATTACAAATTAAGGTTTGATACAAAGAGGCACACCGAAATGGAAATGGTTTGAAATGACATCAATCATACTGACCACTGACCACGATTGCTTTAACATACATATGAGCGATACAGGGCTTGTTGGGGTAAACGTAATCTTCGACGCTAAGCGATCCGAGGCAAATGTTTTGGAGGAGGGGTTTTGACCCAACAGGACAACTCCCACCACGATGGGGACGCCTTGCAGTCATGTCTTTATTTCTCTCTGGCATTTAATTGTACCATTGATATATGATTATGCGGTATTGCAGCTCTAAGAAGATTGGTTTTGTTGTCAACATTCTTGCCCTTTTGGGGATCACCATAGCGACAGGAGTGATTTCCGGTCATTATGGCCTTTTACCTACGATGATGTCAACGGATGCTGCGGCAATGATGTAAATATTGTTGAAGATATTGTAGATTTCATGTCAAATATAATAAACATAATATGTTATAGTCGATACTTGACCAATAGTCTGAACATAACAGTGCAGTAATGGAAGCCTTTTAGAGTCAGGCAAACTTGATCCATGTTTGAATTATTTCGTAATGTCGAAGTAAATTTGTTATTTTGAGACTGATTAGAAATCAAACATGGCCGATGATATTTCTGTTATTAATGTTGCACAAAGCCAATGTTTAATAAAAAGACAATCGTGTAAATGGTTCATGTGTGACGGAGGATATACAATTGATAGCTCTCGAATTTGAAGATGATTTTTTTTTTAATCTCACCAATGTTTTTCTCTTACTTAGTCTTGTTCTTACCAATCTCTAGTCAAATAAAGCTATAGTGGCATCGAATTGGTCGAGACGTGGTCCATTTGTGAAGCAGGTGTTTAGCGAGATGCGATATTGTCAAAAGCATTTGTAATTAAACATTTTATAGAAATTAACCATGCAAGGACCGAAACTTTGAAAAGTGGAAGGAATATCGTTGTTAATTTTGCAGTACCTTTGTGTGGTGCAGCAGTGATTCGTGCAGCTGTTACTAGTTTCGAGTGGAGGGTGTTAAGACGTACACATAATTTGTTTCAGGGCAAAATTCAATCATTACTTCATGGACTACTACATAGTTCCCTGGTGCCGCATGGGGCCCTATATTGTCGGCATCGTAACCGGGTATATCCTGTACCGAACCAACGGCAAGTTCAAAATACCAAAGGTAGGTTCAGAGATAATTGTTTATAGATACCAGTGTCTGGTTCAACTATCAAGCACAAGATACTAAGTATGTGTCTGTTGATAGATGTTCAAGTACCAATCGCCACAGAATCTCCAAGTGGTTCCACTCTTAAAATAAGCCTTTTTACTAAGCAAGACGGGTTTTTTCTATCTGATAGGGAAGAGGTATACTTCGAAACAACAACAAATGTGAATGAAAATAGTCTCTCCATTAGCTTTCTGAAAGCCAAACCAAAATGGAGTCACTTACCATTAATCATTATACTAAAGCTACAGACACGATTTCTTCAGCACAGTTCTGAACCTCATATGTCCAGCTTGCCTGTTGTTGTAGATGATCAACCTAATGATCTGGCTGGGTATGGCAGTGGCTGCCTGCATGGTGGTGTACGGGATAAACGGTCCAGTGACCGGTCACCAGTGGGACAACGGTCTAGCCGCGCTTTATAACGCCGTCCATCGCTCGGTGTGGGGTATGTGTGTCTGCTGGGTAATCTTCGCCTGTGTCACCGGCAATGGAGGTACGTCCTCAGGTCTCAAGTCTATCTGTCATATTCAGCCATTAGTTGCTCTCGGAATGTAACTGTGAAAAATATGCATCGCACCTAATAAATCGTGAGAAAATGAAGCGTCTCTCTCAAAATTTGATGTATTTGAAATATGTAAATATTGACATTTTTAAAGCAAAGCTAATGCAAAATTATATAAATTGAGTGAAAAAGTAGTTTAACTTAATTCGAAACTGTATATGATGGGTAATTAGTTAGATATTATTGCATTTCAAAAATAAAACTTCAATCACATAACTAGCTGTGGGATTATTATATGATACCTTGTATGATGTCATAAAACCGGATCTAGACAGAAATCTTTTGTCGGTTTTGCCGAGTGATTTGACTAACAAAATATTAAAACCTTCTGTCCTAGGTTTCATAAATGACTTCCTCTCGTGGAAGCTGTTCGTCCCGCTCGGAAGACTGAGCTATTGTATCTACCTGACGCACCCCCTTGTGATTTATTACTACCTGAACACATTACGACAACCATTTTATGGCACAACTCTTGGTTTGGTAAGAAAACAGCCCAACAATTAATAAGTTAACTGCCATCAGTACTGCTTTACTAAGTAAACGGCACCATAATTAATCATTTACCTACCACCAATACTGGTATGGTAAGTAAACGGCACAATATTTAATCATTTAACTGCCACCAGTCCTGGTTTGGTAAGTAAACGGCCCCATAATTAATCATTTACCTACCACCAGTACTGGTTTGGTAAGTAAACGGCACCATAATTAATCATTTACCTACCACCAGTACAGGTTTGGTACGTAAACGGCACCATAATTAATCATTTACCTACCATCAGTACTGGTTTGGTAAGTAAACGGCACCATAATTAATCATTTACCTACCACCAGTCCTTGTTTAGTAAGTAAACGGCACCATGATTAATAATTTAACTGTCACAAGTACTGGTTTGGTAAGTAAACGGCACCATAATTAATCATTTATCTACCACCAGTCCTGGTTTGGTAAGTAAACGGCACAATATTCAATCATTTAACTGCCACCAGTCCTGGTTTGGTAAGTAAACGGCACAATAATTAATCATTTACCTACCACCAGTACTGGTTTTATAAGTAAACGGCACCATGATTAATCATTTAAACGCGACAAGTACTGATTTGGTAAATAAACGGCACCATAATTGATCATTTAACTTTTTAACTTTAGCAGAACAAAACAGCTGTATTGTGCAGTGG